AAATATAATAAATATATCTTTAAATTACAATTTAGTAAAATCTATTAATAAAAATATAATATAATAATTACGTAGTCAATTTACGTTAGCTGCATATTTTATCTCAATTAATAAAAAAATAATAATTTTGATAGCAAACTCTTATAATTATAAAATGTAAAATCTCTAAATTCACCCTTCAAAGAAAGAGATAAGGATAGATTTATCTCTTAAAAAAAATAAAAAAATTGTTATTTTAAATTCATAAATTAAAATAAATTATTTATTTTTTAATAAAAAATATCAAAATTTTGTTTATCATATCAATATTTTTTAATAAAAAATATTAAAAAATAAATAATTTATTTTAATTTATAATTTAAAATAACAATTTATTCCCTCATTTTTATTAAAGATGAATTTATACTTATTGTTTTTTTTAAAGGTGGATACGAGAGTTCTGCCCATAAATATTACCCTTTGAATAGTGGGAGCAAGTGGATAGCTCGTAGCCTTCAATAGTTCAATGCCTCGCTTCTTTTGCCTATCTGCATTCTCTTGTAGAAAAGTTTATCTTTCTCAGCCTTGGATTCCCATCAAATCTCTCTCTTTTTATATTCTTTATTTTTTCCTATATTTTCTACTTAGGATTTAGATTTCAAAAAAATACTTGGTCATATTTCGTTAATTTAAAATCTTAATTTAAAATCAAAATCAGAGTTTAAACTTCTATTTTATCAAATAACTAATTATCTGATGTTTTAAAACAATATGTTTCTAAAAATTGCCGTTAGAGTCTTGGACACAACAAAAGAAAAGATGAATACCCATTAAAATAAAGTGTTAAAAATCACTTCCAAAGATTAAAAAAGGTTTAATTTCAAATAATATTTTTGAACTTTTAAAAAATCAGTAAATAATATTCAAAATCTTTACTTGCGTTAAACAATATTTTAGATAGGTTAAACTCTTAATGTGATTATTTAATTATTGTATAAATTTTTGAGTTCATCTCTAAACTTAAAATTATTTATTTTAGTCCTAAATTTTGAAAATTTAACTTTTTTTTTAGTCACTCCATTAAAAATTCACCGACTTTACTTATTACTAGACAAGAAAAGAATGGCATGTTTAAAATTTTCACACACAGGATTAACTTGAAAAGAATGAGTTGGCCCAAAAAAAAAAAAAAAAACAATTTTTTCTTTTTATTCCTCTTTTCCTTTCTCTTTCTCTTTCGTCTTCCTTTTTTTTTTTTTCTCTTTTTCTTTTTTCATTTACTAAATCAACTTGCAGAAGATAATTTGCATTTTCCTTTTGATTTCTAAACACTGATTACAACTTCTAATATCCCACAACCTTGTATTTGAAATACTAAACCTTGTATTTGAGTATAATAATCTTCAGATACGTGTTAATTAAGCTTAATAATCAAGCACAAACTAACTAATCTTTGCTTCTTTGGCATCCATCTTTTGTTCTACAATCTTTAACTACATATGCACTTTGGTGAAACTGAGCACCAGTTTGGCAAACCCACTTCCGAGTTCGATCAAGGTAATAGACAAAACTGATAATCCTTTGGGCTTCATAAGTGGCAAAAGGTACCCATAAAGATCCTTATTCCCTTCAAAAGAGCTGGCATTGAATTTCGGAAAATTATCGCTTATGTTCCCTAAAGAAACCAGAATGAGACTAGAAAGCTTATTGAATGAAACATCAAAAGCATACAGGTGTACAGGAGACCCAATTGCTAAGGAATTTGCCCAGAAAGCAAATTGTTGTGAAGATCAATGATGTTTAGGTAAGCGCACAATGCAAGCTACGAAAGGATCTCCCGGTTGAGTAGATTGGAGGAGAGATTCAAAATTGCTAGATTGACCAAGTATTGCAAATCTTGAGGGATGGGTTTGGAGATTAAGTTGGAGGAGAGGTTTAGGGATTGAAGATTGGTATAGTTTGAGAGAAAAGGAGAAATGGTACCCTAGTGAAGGAAACTAAAGACAGATAGCCTGTAGATGCAACAATCTTTGCAGGTGGCAAATGGGTAAATAGGAGGTGCATCTATTGTAAGGGCTAGCAAAATTAGATTTGGTCTAGTTTTAAAGATTATTCAGTGTGTCTTTGAAGGAAAGTGTGAATTTATCTTTTTCGAATTGATTAGGTTAATGGAGAAAAAAGTAGGGCAATTGTAGGTTAAGGACTTACGATTTACAGATGGCGAAGGACAAGAAGAGGAAGGAGAAAGGGAAAGAGGAAAAAAAGAAAAAGGAAAAAGAAAAGGGAACATTAAATTCCATTTTTTTTTCCCATCTCATTCTTTTTACCATGCACGCTCCTGTCTCTTATAAATAAAATAGTGTGTATAAGAGACAGGTCTTACGTCCTGTGTGCTTATTCATGGTGCTGACTAGATAGCCAGCCTATATTTCCACTTGGATGGGGGGGGGGGGGGGGGGGGGGGGGGGGGTGGGGTGGGGGTGAGTTTGGGAGGCAATAGCACATAGTTTCCAATCTCTTTTCTTTATTCTGCATTTCATTCATGAAACAAATTGATGTTCTGCAGTATGCTATCATACACTGTTTCCTGTGCCAGATTTGTATACTTACCAGGCAGGAGGGTAACCAAATGCTAAATTGAATAGGTTTAGGTTTTTTTAATTTTTTTTCCCATAAAAGTTTTGAGGGATTGCACGAAACATCTTTTGATATCATTTTGCTAATATATCTAGAGGATGAAACTTTTGTAGGAGGAGGTTCTTAACTTCATTTGTGATGCATACCATGCTAAGACTGGAACTTTGTCTGTACCTCAATCACTTCAAATGAAGAAAGACATATCA